GGTCAGAAGGCAGAAGTTGGGGTCCCTGCGACGATTTGGGCTGATTGTTTAGGGAGGTCTATTCTGGATCAAAAGTTCTTTGCAAGTACTTTCACCCAGCCTGTGCCTTCCTTGTCTTTTCATTCTCTTAAGAATGTCTTAACCTAAGAGTAGGTTCTACGTTTTGATTAAGCACAATTTATCAACTTTTTCTTTTATGGGTCATGCTTTAGGTGTCACGTCTAGAACTCTTGGCCTAACACCAGGTCGTGAGGATTTTTCTCCTATGTTTTCTTCTAAAAGTTTTTTGTTTTACATTTAGGTCTATGATACATTTTGAGTTAATTCTGTAGGTGTGAATTTAGTGTTTCTTATCACCAAAGTCACTTGCAGGGCCGGCCCCGTGGCTTAGCAGTTAAGTACGCGGCTCCGCTACTGGTGGCCCGGGGCGTGCACCGAGGCACGGCTTCTCCAGCCATGCTGAGGCCACGTCCCACATGCAGCAACTAGAAGAACGTACAACTATGACGTACAACTATCTACTGGGGCTTTGGGGGGGGGGGAAAAAAAAGGAGAAGGATTGGCAGTGGATGTTAGCTCAGAGCCGGTCTTCCTCAGCAAAAAGAGGAGGATCAGCATGGATGTTAGCTCAGGGCTGATCTTCCTCACACACACACCAAAAAAGTCACTTGCAAATGTTCATTTTTAATGTTGATGTGTAATAAGATTTTATGTATTTCATCTTTTGAAACGCCTTTTCACACAGATTGGTATTCTCAAGTACTGATATCAATCCCCAAACATATGATTTTAATTGAGTCTATTCCTCACTGGGAAGGCATTTGTAGAGTTATATTAGCTTCTTGTCTTGGTATTTGCCTTTTAGCACGTTATTCATTACATTGCAGTTAATCACCTTCAGTTGAAAGAGAGTTGGAAGCTTTGCAATCTGAGTTAAATGGATTTTGAAGTATGGAAATTTCCTTTGCACTTGTATTGAGGTCTGAAAAACACTGCTGGAACTGTAGTTTGAGGTTGGAAAATATATGTGCGGTGGAAAATATATGTGCTGTGAATTTGTGTGGTTATGGGTATCTCACTTCTTAACTTTTGACAGCAGAGCAAGTATATAAGGCAGGGTACGTGACATTTCTTGTATTCAAGCGTTAGTTGTCATCAGAATGACTTTAGCAACATAAAAGTCTCAAATATAAGTGGTGCTTTAACTTGTTACTCTAAGTTGAATTCACTGGCTTAAATTCGTTAAGAAACATCAAGTCTGCAGCAGAAGCTAATTTCCAAAGCCATTCAGTGTTCAATAATGGTTGAGGGAGGTTCTTCTCATTCAGAAATTTGCAATCTTGGCCCTGAACTCAGAAAGTCTCAAAACTTTACCACTGCTAAGGCATCAAACTGTGATGTGGTAGGGCAGGTCAGGATATTTAGTTTCTATTTCTCTCAAAAATTCACGGAACTGATGACGACTCAGTCCATGGGAACAAATGAAGTACCCCAGTGACACTTTTGGTTCAGTAACACGATAGATTCACCTTTTCTGATAAGTACCTGCTGATGAATAAATAGACTTTAAACACCTTACATTTTCAAAGTGTAAATTTGTTCAACTAGGCCTTTTGCTGTTCCACACATATTTTTACCACCATCAATTGCAGCACATCTTGGGAGATTCCACTGCAAGTTGTACTGAATTAATTTTTTGTCAACTTTAAAAATATTTTTGCTTATAGTTACTCCACACAGACTATTGATAGAGGCTAATTCTTCAGTCATTTCTAGGGTGACAAGCCATCCTGATTAGCCTGGGACTGAGGAGATTCCCGGAATGTGGGACTTCCAGTGTTAAAACCAGAAAGGTTCTGGGCAAACTGGAATGAGCTGGTCACTTTAGCACTTCAAACTTGGCTTTGACATCTTGAAAAAAATTCAAAATAATTTGCCTTGTTTTTAAATTGACTTGATGTTGCAATATCAATACTGAAGTCTTCAAGCAACTGTTCTCACTGAAGGGCTAGTAAGTCTTAAAAAGTTTCCTTTATCTGGACACATTTCTTCAGCTGCTGCAATCCAACACAATTACCTTGTCATTGGTAAAGGGCTTTCCTTACTTTGCTAACAAATAAGCCACTTGGAGACCTTAGTTATAGCCTCATTCTCATTTTTTGGGGTCAAGAAATCATGTGCTAAAATATTCCATTTAAAATAGCCTAACTCTGCTGGCTGTTGGGAATACTGTGACGAGTGCTTAGTCTGGTAATATCATATAGATTGTGTTCTTTTAGCACAGGTGGAAGGTCGCTGCAAAACAGACACAATGATTTCCCATCTAATTTGACTATGCAATACACACTCCACTGTGAGCTTCAGCCCGACATTCCAAGTCCACTTTTCTCTTCTTTTGACATGACAAGTATGTAATGGTAAGAAAAATACATAAAGTTCACGGTACCACGATACGTGTGGCAAAGCATGTCAGGCCAGAACTGCATCACTGCCATTTGTCGTTCACCCAGCAGCAAAACTCAGCAATGAGGACCACATATGGTCTCTATCACAACCAACCTCTTGTAGCACAAAAGCAGCCACAGGCAATATGCAAATAAATGTGGCTGTGTCCCAATAAACCTTTGTTTATGGACGCTGAAATTTGCATTTACTTTTCATGTGCCATGAAGTATACTTTGTGATTTTTTCAACCACTTACGTACGTAAAACAAAACCGGCAGCAGGTTGGACTTGGACTGCAAGATAGCTGCCTACCCTGTGGTCCACAGGATGACCCATGGTGTAGCTAGGTTCGGGCCACATTATCATTTCTGCCTACAGGAAGTGCAGATGATTTATATATGTAATACTCTTGGGCTAAGGATAGCACCAATCGGTGTCATAGTCCCTGTCTGAAGGATAGCTGCCTTCAGTTGCCTAACTTGCGTCAGTCTTTGAACAAGAAACAGCCTTGGCTGTATTACAGGGAGACTCGGGAATCCCTGTCAGCACAGCCTATCCTAATTTCCCAAATCTCATACCATCAATCAGCCAGGGTTACAATTTCCAGCCACTGTATTCCAAATAATGCTGGCAATAGAAGAAAACCTCACTTCGCATTGTGTCCAATTGTTTATTCATTTGCCACCTCGCCTTATAGCAAATATGCAGCCTGTGAAATGTCTGGCTCCAACTGAACAGTCTGTGGATTCCTTTTTTCCTTTACAGCTTTTTGTTCTAATTATACATAATAGCAACACATACTTATGCTTCCACTCTAGTACTTTGCTGTTTATCTTCCCATTTAAAAAAACACATTTTTATGTAGTCGTGGTCATACTGTTCATACAATTTTCATTGTACCCTTTTATACCTTATTTGCTCCGTATTACCGCAAACATTTCACATTTATCAGCTGAGGGGGCTTCTACTCGATTCCAGCCTGATTTTCTCCCTACAAAATCTGAAAATCAAACCCATACCACCTTGATGAATTTTCTTCTGAAGATCCTAATCCAGTCCACAGGAAAATATTATCTGTAACCATGTAACTTCAAGGCTTTTTCTTATAAAAAATATCCATGGCCATGATATGCCAAAGATGGAATCACCTCCTCCCAGTTCCAGGGTACATTAAAATACTCCTTTCACATTAAGTGACGACGAATGGTCCCATGCCTAAGTGCAGTGGGTGGGTGGGCGGCAGGTTGGGAATGGAAATCAGCTCTTGCTACATATACATGTATGTGTTTTAGTGCACATGCCTTTTGGAGAAAGAAAACATGATGGGCTGCCTAAATAAGCTTATCTGATGCTTTCCCAGAAGGGGAAACCAGAGGGATGCCCAGATCCATAAAGTTCAGAGATGGTTCAAAAAGGGAGGCAAGGGCCAGCCCCAGTGGCCTAGTATAGTAAAGTTTGGTGCGCTCCACTTTGGGAGCCTGGGTTTGCTACCCAGGCACCGACCTACACCACTCCTGGCATGCTGGGGTGGCGACCCACACACAAAACAGAGCAAGACTGGCACAGATGTTAGCTCAGGCTGAATCTTTGTCAGCAACAACAAAAAAAAGGGAGGCAGTTTATTCAACAAATACATATTGAACATATTCCATGTGTCAGGTACTAGAGGTAAAAATCTCCTCTTTGCATATACTTAAAACCAACTGTTTTGCACTTTCTATCGGAACACATAGCTCAGTATCTTATCATACTAAAGATTTAAATATTAGATGAAAATTGTCTGGTGACAATGGGTGTTTCTAATGAATCTGGATTAGCAAATATAAATACATTTCAAGGGCATCAGAAACTTAAAAATAGCTGAGAAGGTGAAAATCTATTTTACTTCAAGACACCCTAGTCCCACTTACATACAAAGTATAAAAAAAGTTTATCTGCTGGTAACTGTTTGAATCTTGAAATGTAACTCCACATCAGATGATATTGATACAAAATGCTAGTTACTAATCCATCCTAGCCCACCAAAAACTAGTTTAATGTTAGTAAAAATGATCACATACACATAAATGAATCTGTACTAATACTTCAACTGCCTTCTCACTCTCCATATAATTGAACTCCCAGTTTCAACCATCTAACGTTAAAGCCTAAAGTACCTTTATAGGTTAAATGTGCTCTGTCTAAAAAGAACCATTTAGACAGTCAAGCAAGATTTTATTTATTTGATGGTAACAAAAAAGGCCACAGTTTAGTACATAAACCTATAGCTAATGGTGACCCTTCTATCCAGGCAGAGTAACTACAGACAGCTATAAAGTCTGCAAAGAAAACTAGAGGAGACCAGGACAAGGAGGCAGTGGGACCCTGGCTACACAAGCTGGTATGACCCCCTGTATTTCAGCAAGGGCAGGCAAGCCAAAATGACTGACTGCTTTCCTTACTGACTTGAACTGACAGTTTTTCCTCTGAAAATCTTGTCAATGCATTCCATTCTTGTCTAGTTAAATATGAGGAATCAGCCCTCATAACACAGTCACATTTTTCAGAAGAAATACTGTACACAATACATTCAGAATCACTGATTGCTTTTTCTTCGTCTTTTTCTCCTTGAACGTGCAGGTGTTTTAGTCTCTTGTGTTTCTTCTTTTACACCAGATATGGGCTGTTTGAAAACTATTTCATCATCTTTATCATTATCCTTCATTGCAGCCACTTCAGATTTTCGTTTCTCCAAAAATGTTGGTGTACAAACTGGAGTGGGGCCCTGGATTCAACAAATAAAAGATCACAAAACACAAATGCAGGAAGATATTTGGAATGAATGACTTTACTCCCCCTCCCGAGCACCTACCTTCTATTTTTACAAGCTACAACGTGTGACTTTAGGCCTGTTTTCCATCTTTTGGTGATACAACTGCACCTGATAAAGAACTTAAGGTGCATATCTGTATCAAACTTGGTATGGAAATTCACAATTGGAATATAATATGCTCCATTATAGGGTATTAGTTAGAAAATCAAAAACCTTACATTTACGAAAATAGTGGCCTCATTTCTCCCTATGAAGTCAGCCTCTTTGCTGAAAAGGTGAAAAGTGCAATAAACTCACAATGGTAACCTTTGCTAAGCTCACTATATCTGCTTAATCACCAGTAAGGACTTACCAAAAGGTCACAAGATTAAATCTGAAGTTTAACAAAGTGACAGTAGCAGAAACTGCTTTTCCTCTTTCAAATTACAATACCCAATTCCCAGAATATTGAAGATAGTTTTACCTGGCTATCCACTGTCTTCTCAGGAGTGTTAGGAGTAATCACAACCTCTTTTTTCTTCTTCTTACATAAAAAGAACAAAATTTTCCTCAATAAATTTTAAAAGACTTCATTAATTTGCATACTTATCAGCTATAGTAGTCTTGAACATATTTTCCCATTTATCTCTCTCTAATATCTGACATATAACATGACAAATAAAAAAAATTTTACCTGTCTCTTTGCAGATTTCCGAAGATCACTGTTTGGAGCATTTTTTTCTTTTTTATGTAAAATCTTAAGGAAACATAAAGTTATAAACTGGCAGTCTCACATATTTACATTTAACTTACCATTAGATTCTTATATATGTTATCAGTAAATTTAATTTAATAAGCAAAATCCACAAATACAGTGAATGATCTTAAGTAAAGGTCAAAACTAGAAGAGGGGCCTGAGGAATGGGCAGAAACTGGGGAGACAAGTGGAGGCCAAAACCCGGGGCTGGCCATGTAGTATCTCGAGTCAGGAAGGTGAAATTTAGGAAGACTTTGAAAAGGCAGGTCTTGCAGGAGGCCTGTCCTGGCTGAGTTCAGGGTTGTGAATGAAGCAGTCCTGCTCTCCTGCAAAGTCACACACAGGCTACAGGAAAAGCAGTTTTCACATGTCTGTTTTCAAGCTTCCCTGTCCCCACTCTACCAGGGCCCAAGGATTGAGACATAATGCTCTTTTAACACATATTGTTAAAGACTGTGTTCAGGATTTGGGCAAAGAATTAACAACCAGGAACTGGGCCAAAGGAGGGTAACTCAGTCTTCCAGTTTTTGGATAAGGTTAAAAGACCAAATAAACCTGGGAACGGATGCCATCTCTTATTAACTGATTAGCTTTTTGGAAATAATCTGATAGGGTCTATGGAAGACCCCAAACAATCTCAAGACCCAGTCAAGAAAAGAAATAAGATCTTCACCTATACTAGCCACACCCTAATGAGCTGCATTCTTGTTTTTTAGGTGAAAACATACAGCTCTCCTTCCCCTGAAAGAGGGAGAGAGATGCAGCAAGGTCTCCTTCAACAAGCAAGGGAATAAGAACTGGATGAAGATTTGTGCTAACTCATTTTCATGTAAGTAGGCTTGCTACATTTCAACCCCTGCTCATTTAATTCACAGAATTGATGCTTACTGGTTAATTCTGATATACGCTTTACAAATATTTCCAATTTAAAAGAACAGGAAACAAAATTTTAACTAGAATGACATAAAAAGGATGGTCTTGATATTTACCGATTGCATATAATAAACCAATCATCATTTAGTTCTGGTAATGACATCTTTAAGAGTAATTGGTTAAACAGTGGTTTAACTTCAATAATTTAAAAACATCACAAAAATTTTGCAAATCAGGTAATCCCTTTCAGGAGTTTCCTCTTCTGTATAATAGGATCTGCTCAGACAAACTTTTAGGAAGAACCCACAATACAATGTTTCACAAATTTAGTAAAAATCTGGTATGGGATAAGCACTGGGCTAATACTTTATACATATATATATATATATATATATATATATATATATATATAAAATCATAAACATGTTACAACTAGTGAGGTATGAAGCCCACCCCCAAGAAAAAACACAAACATTTCATGAAGGAATACTTACCAATGAAGGAAAATTATAATCAATTCCTTTTTTAGCTAATCTCTTCCTGAGTAATTTTTCTTTCTTTTTAAATCGCTCCTCCATCCGTAGCTTTTGAAGAAGTGTCCGATTCTGATTATATCGTTTCACTGCTGGATATGACGGATTTTTAAATGGAGCATGCCACTCTCTAAAAAGTTCTGCATGTACTTTTTCAGGCGGTATAATATGACCTATATTGAAAAAAAAGTTTTCAAACAAGTGGCAGGGAGAGGATTTTAATATTAATTTAGGATTTCCCCAGTGTCACTCCCCACATCATAATGAAGATAACATGTCTCCCATTTACATGGGGAAGCCTAAAAGAAGAAAGCAGGTACCCAAAGAAAAGTCAGACAGCCAGCAACTGTTGATTAAACACCTGCTGTGTGCCAAGAACTATTCCAGGCATTGGGGATACTAAGAGAACGAGAGCTGTACAAAGGAGGGTCTTGGCGCCATCAAGTCTCAGGTTCCTGAAGCTAACAGGATCCCACTCAGACCGTGTGACCTGCTGGAGCAGAAGCCATCACTTTCCAGCTCATATCCTCTGGGCATCTCTCCAGGACTAAGGCAGCTTACTTGTTATCTGCATCTTTCTGCTTAAGGGCTCTATGGGCCTAATGGCTATGGAAGCACATTAGGCCCATAAGCAAGGCAAGCCAGAACCCCTGGAATCAACCCTCAAACAGTGATGGATGGGGAGTCAGTAGATCAACACCCCAGTTCCCTTGCCTGTCAGGTGGAATTCTGTCCCCCAGTGTTACCCAGCAGGATGGAGCCTAGGTGCCTATGCAGTAACCTGCCCGCTGAGACACCCTTTATTGTCCTCCTTCCCCTCTCTGTCTCACTTCTCCATTCCCTATTTTTTCCTGCGATCACCTCCAAAATAAACTACTTCCACTCAAAAAAAAAAAAAAATCATGCGGCCAATCTCACTCAGAGTTCAGAACCTCTTGGGTTATCTTTCAAAAGTCAGATACAGCACAGCAAAGATCTCACACATGTAGTCCCCTGAGACCTTTAGGTCACCTACTCAGTCCATTTCCTCCTGGCAAGAGCCATGTTTTTTTGAGGAAGACCGGATCTGAGCTAACATCTATTGCCAATCCTCCGCTTTTCATTTTTTTTCCCCCCCAAAGCCCCAGTAGACAGCTGCATGTCATAGTTGCACATTCTTCTAGCTGCTGCATGTGGGACGCGGCCTCAGCAAGGCTGAAGAAGCGGTGCGTCCGTGCGCGCCCGGGATCCGAACTCGGGCCGCCAGCAGCGGAGCGCACGCACTTAACCGCTAAGCCATGGGGCCGGCCCCAAGAGCCATGTTTTTAATGCGTGAATGAACACATGACCTCAACGAGGCTACTGGGATCCTCTCTCACAGCAAGAGGAACAGAGCAGAGAGATGCAACTCAGACGGCTTCGTCAGCTGCTTGAACAGATGCATGCGACCTGGCACCTGGGATGGCCATACTCCACCACGAGCACAGGGAGGCCAGAAACTGAACTCTGCCTCCGGAGGGCACTGAGCTCCAGACAGGGATGTTCTGGGAATGCAACACTGGCGGCTCTACTTTCTGCAGGATGAATTTCTCACTTAGTGTTGTCACTCCTCCACTCCTCATGGCTTTGCTTGTGGAAGAGCTGCAGCCAACGTCACTTAACTTTGAAATGTGATCCTTTACCTTTAATGTTATCCTAGCGAGCAGCATTAACGGTTTTTCACTGCCCTCGGGATACACTCTAAACTCCCAGATTTGTAAAACCTTCAATAACCTGACCTCCTCTCATCCCTTCTATTTCTTCTCCCTCATCTCTTGCTATTCTCACATTCTCTCACAGGCAAATACTGTTAGTCACCTCTGGTTTTGCATTTGCTGTCCCCTCAGCCAGGAATGGTCTCAATCTTTACTCCTATCCTCTCTACTTGGCTCACTCCTATTTAATCTTCAGGTTTCAACTTAAGTGATACTTCCTCAGGGAAGCCTTCCACATCCCATTAGGGATGGGTTAGCTGCTCTCTCTATGTACTCCTAAAGTAACTTGTCTCAATTCCATCTCAGCATAAAAACAGCTCTCACTCTAGAAGATTTTAAAATTCCAATGAGACTCTGTCTGGAAAATGCACTTAAATCCTGCACCATTCCTTAAGAGAATCATCCCAGAGATGAAATGGGACATGCAGGTAGCTAAGTAACCTGCCCTTCACACCACAGCCACCCACCAGCAGCAGACACCTAGGCAATCCTACAGGTAAGACGAGCACTTACACTTCAAGAGTCTTTCACCAAAAAGGTAGTTGTTCATTGTTTCAGCAACTATTTTGGCAACCTCTTCAGACTCAAACTCCAGGAAGGCATAGCCTTTGCTGTTTCCAGTCTGCAATGTAAAATCCACCACAAAAGTAGAACAATTATATTCTAACACATCATTAAACTTCTAAAATGCCATTAATTTAAATAATGTACATTAGCCTCACTGTCGAAACATCATGACACCCTTAATTCCAACTGCAACTCACAAAGTGTGGGGCCTGTTACGGGAAAAGAAAAGATCCAAAATAATGTGAACATGCCACTGATTTTGAGGTATTCCTGGGATTTTGATTACATGTGCTAAATACATTACTACATTTGGAATTTATTCAATAGCCAACACCCCATCATATAGAGGAAATTTGGTAGGTTCCCACAGTCCTTTCCTCACGTTATTGATCCCACTGGTAGGCATAATATTTATGTATTAATAACATCCAAAAGATAGTATTACGCTTCACAAAGAATGCAGGTAACATAATTCCCATTTTACATTTAACAACTGAAAAGAAACTAACTCCTCAGGGTTTCCAAGCTAATCATTAAAATACTGCATTCAGGGCCGGCCCCGTGGCTTAGTGGTTAAGTGCGCACGCTCTGCTGCTGGCAGCCTGGGTTTGGATCCCGGGCGTGCACTGACGCAACGCTTCCCCGGCCATGCTGAGGCCGCACCCCACATACAGCAACTAGAAGGATGCGCAGCTATGACATACAACTATCTACTAGGGCTTTGGGGGGAAAAACAAATAAATAAATAAAATCATTAAAAAAAAAAAATACTGGATTCATTTTCATGTTTACTAGTGACTGGTCATCCTCACAGCTGGGGGCCAAAGGAAGAGGCCAATGTTCTCTGAAATGCGCATCCCAGGGTCCTGCACCTATCTTAGTAACAAGAGTATGGGTTCTGGAGTCCAATTGCCCAGGTTTGGCTCCCGGCTCTGACACTTACTTGGGTAAGTAACGTTAAGGCTTCAGTTTTTCATTCTATAAAACGGGGATAAAATAACCACTCTTATAGGGTTGCTATGAAGATATGAAATAATCCATAGGTGGTCACACGACATCTGTCGGGTACTCAATAAATGTTACTGTCGGGGCTGGCCCAGTGGCTTAGCAGTTAAGTGCGCACGCTCCGCTACCGGCGGCCCAGGTTCGGATCCCGGGCACGCACCAACAAACCGCTTGTCTGGCCATGCTGAGGCCGCGTTCCACATACAGCAACTAGAAGGATGTGCAGCTATGACATACAACTATCTACTGGGGCTTTGGGGAGAAAAAGGGATAAAAAGGAGGAGGACTGGCAATAGATGTTAGCTCAGGGCTGGTCTTCCTCAGCAAAAAGAGGAGGATTGGCATGGATGTTAGCTCAGGGCTGATCTTCGTCACACACACACACACAAAAAAACAAAACAAAAAATAAATGTTACTGTAGGGTGGTAGAACATGCCATGCTTATCTGCCACTTTGACATAAGGATTATTTTGAGCTGAAGGCACTTGAGAAGCAGATATAAGAAAAGCTCTGTGCCCTCCCCCTACCTGCCTAAAAGCAGCACATAAATTTACTGACGTGTCTTCCCTCTTCTCTCTACCAGAAAGACAAACTTTAACTCACTAGACTTTATCTATCATTGGTTTCCCATATATTTGCCTTCCCACAATTTGCAGCCCTAGAAACTCAAAGCCCTTTTCCTGTGTCGTCACTTCTCTAAAAACGTACCGTTCCTTTGCTAAGATGCTACACGGGCCCAGGTTCTCACCCTTTATTTTTTTTTTGAGGAAGCTCAGCCCGGAGCTAAGATCTGTGCCGATCCTCCTCCACTTTATGTGGGACACCGCCACAGCATAGCCTGACAAGTGGTGCATCGGTGCGCGCCCGGGATCCAAACCCGGGCCGCCAGCAGCAGAGCACGCGCACTTAACCGCTACGCCACGGGGCCGGCCCCATCTCACCAACCCTTTGAGTTATTTCCAACCCTTGGAGCTATGCATCCCGAGTGCTCCCACGTGTAAGCATACTTCTGTTTGTTTTACTCTTGTTAATCTGTCTTTCGTCAGTCCAATTTACAGGGTCCCAGCCAGAGAACCTAGGAGGGTAATGGAAAAAAGAATTTTTCCTCCCCTGGAGGTCCAATTATTAGTGACAATAACTAGAAATATTTTTACAATCTTGTACTAAACAACATATTTTTGGATATGGATCAAAACTAGTGACGTGATTCTGGAAAAAAGAAACCACTCAAAAGGTGCACAGCTTAAGAGAGTGGGAGTCAGGAGGCTCATTTCTAGCACCAGTGTGCCGCTAACCAGCAACTTGGACACGTCCACATCTCTGAGTCTCAGATTAGTTATCTGCAACAGGAGGATTTCGATAAAAATTTAAATGTTTGAAAATCCTTTTACAATCCCAACTCTTGACAGCGAGGGGAAAGATGGTGGAGAGGAAGAGAGAGACACTGTGAAATCCAACTTAACTCACCACACTGTAAACGGATAAAAACCTTTTGAAAAGTAATTTAAAACCACATACCATGAGCAGAAAAACTATAACAAAAACCCAAAAAAACCCTTCATCTAGTAATTCCAGAAAGATGCTGGAAACACCAAATAGTCAAAATTGGGGTGAACAGCAAGGTAGCAGCTTTCCTATGTAATACTGGTGCAAATGGTAAAATTTTAGTGCATCTCCTCAAGGAACAGGCTTTCTACAAGACAACTGGACCAAACTCTCCAAAAAAGCCAATGTCAAGGAAAACAAAACAAGCAGACAAGGAAACTGTTCCCAGATAAGCTGAAGAGCTCTAACAACCAAATAAATGCACAAACTTCGACCAGATTCCAGAATAGGGAGGGAAAAAAATAGCTAAAGACTTTTCTGGAACTATTACGGATATGTAAAGGTGGACAGTACACTGTATAGATTATTACATTGTGGTTATGAAGAGAATGTCCTTATTCTGGGTAGATTTATGATGAAGCATTTAGAAAGTATTATGACTGCAACTTTCTTCAAAAGGTTCAAAAAGTGTGTATGTTTTTATAGATATGGAGAAAGATGAAGCTACTTGTCAGGATGTCGATAATGCGTGAATCCAGGCGAGGGGTAGGGATGTTCATTATACTATTCTTTCTATCTCTCTGTAGACTTCAACATTGAACATTTTCAAAATACAAAGCTGAGGCGGGGGAACAATGACTACACTGCAATATGGGAAAACATTTATAAAATAACGTCCCACAAAAGGCAGGAAAAGAGTTTTTGAAAAAGACAATAATAAGAAACGGCAAAAGACATGAATAGGCAATTCACAGAAGAGAGAACTCCAACGGCCAATAAACACCTAATGATACTAACCTCACTAATAAGGCAGATAAAAAAACCATGACCATTTTATACTCAGTGATTCTGAGGATAAGCTGTAGAGCAGTATCTTTCAAACTCAGAGTCTGACCTTTTAGAGGAAAACAAAATCAATTTAGTAGGTCAGAAAGGTATTTCTAAAAAACCGAATAGAAAGGTTAAGTATTATCTCATATGACTTTTATTTCAGTTATGTTTACATACACGTACATGTGTGCTGGCTTGTGGTGTACCTTACTTCTTCTTGTGGGTCAAAAGTCTGAAAAATATTATTCTAGAGAAACTTGCATACACCTGCACAAAGAATGTTCTTAGTGGCTTCACGTATAACAGTGAAAAACTGTAAAAAAAAAAAAAAAAACAAAAACAAAAAACAAAACAAAACCCTCATGTTCAATAGAAGACAAATAAACTTTAGTATGTTCAAGTAAAGGACACAGCAATGACAATGAATGTGCTAGAGCTGTATCAATAAAGCTCAGAGCAGATTGTTGAATGAAAAAATTAAGTTTCAGAATAAAATATACAACTAATCTAGATTTAAAACAATAATGTACAATGTATATTGATACATGAATATGTAGTAAAAATTGAAAAACACACACAGCAATGAAAAACACTGAATTCATGAATACTAATTCCCTGGGCATGGGGAGAAGGTGCAGAGGACTGGGGAAGGGTACAAAGGGACCTCAAGTTCACCTATAATCCATTTCTTAAAGAACAAAGATCTGGAGCAAGTTTGAGATGAAGCTGACATCTGATAAAGGTGAACGGCAGATACCCGAACAGTCACTAAATCACTCTCTAGCAGACTTCAGGAGGTTTGAAATATCTCACCCACCTAATAAGAAACCATTACAAATAAGCAAATGGAATAAAAGGGAAGGAATACAAAGAAAATATGTTATTTTCGTTAGGATGGAAGAAATACTAGGGCACTTTAAATTTAAAATTCCCTTTAATGCTGACGTGTTGCTTTGACAAAATTTAATACCTGTGGTTTTACAACAACTAGCAGATGATGGACACATACCCTATCCCCTCACATGCCAAATCAAATGTAAAATTTAACTTTGATTTGTTATAACTCAGGCAGGAAAATGTGGAAAAACTATATCAAAAAACCCCAGAGAGGGGCCGGCCCCCTGGCGTAGAGGTTAAATGCGCGCTCTGCTGCTGGCGGCCCAGGTTTGGATGCCGGGTGTGCACCTCCGCACCGCTTGTCAGGCCATGCTGTGGTGGCGTCCCACATAAAGTGGAGGAAAATAGGCACGGATGTTAGCTTAGGGCCGATCTTCCTCACAAAAACAAAAAAACAAAAAACCCCCAGAGATTCCAACAATGAGAGGTCTATGGTTACAACCAATTAAAGTTTATGTGTGCAGGAAGAAAATAAAGTGGGCCACTCCTCCTTTACTGATACAAACCACATAAACCATTTTTTATCAGGAGATAGAGATAATATAACAATAACATTTATATAGTGTTTACTGTGTGTTATCAGGCATTACTCTAAGAACCTTACATTCATTATCCTGTGTTTAATCTTTCACTAGATACTCCTAGGAGGTTGGTGCTCTTTTACTCATATTTTACAAATCAGAAAACTGATGCATGCAGAGGTTACATAATTTGTCCAAGGTCGTACAACTAGTAACCTGTAGAGTCAGGCCTCAAACCTAGGTAGTCTGGCTCCAGTGTCCTCATCCTTAACTATTCACTATACAAACTTTTGCTATTACAGGGGTGCCTACACCAAAGGGTAATACAAGATGATGTATGAACCGCTCCTCAAACTGAAGTTCATGTACACCTGGCTCAGTAGCCATACAATAAATATGATTTATTTACTAGGATTGTCAATTTAATTTGAGAATTTGGGGCAATCACTTTTTTTTCTTGAGGAAGATTGGCCCTGAGCTAACATCTGTGTCAATCTTCCTCTATGTTGTATGTGGGTCGCAGCCACTGCATGGCTGACAAATGGTGTAGGTCCGTGCCTGCGATCCAAACCCGAAAACCCAAGCCACTGAAGCAGAGCATGCTGAACTTAACCACTACGCCATGGGGCCAGCTCCCACGTTTTTTTTAAAATAAAGTAAACATTTACAATAATACTGATTTTGCTTTTGTGGTTGTTTCAGGTTCTAAACCTCATCCACCTCCCTTTTCTGGAGCAAAGTCTGATAAACAATAATATGTGGACATGCTCTCAACTATCAAGGATGATAACCTTTTAAAGAAAAAAACAGACAATCTAAATTCAACACAAAAATCTTACCCTTTTACTTCTGGACAGTCTAAGTCTTGTAACAGTGCCAAACTGTGAGAAATATGCTCGGATCTGGGTTTCGTAAAGCGCTGGAGGTAGGTGGCCCACATAGATTACTCCAGGAGTGAGTTTTTTTTTCTCCTGTCGCTGAAAACATAAAACACAGATAATTACTTTTTCAATAAAAAAAAATCACATTGCAACAAAACTTGCAAACCTCCCTAACTCTCAAGACGAGACCAAGAGCCTAGCCACTATTTCCACTTAGCAGAACAGTAACTAAAGAGTTAGCTGTTTAATGTCCATCTCCCCACGAGGGCAATCGTCACAGCACATTGTCTTCTCAGCCTGTGTCCCAGCACGCCGCACAATGTTCATGCTCGATAACTATACGTTGACTCAACAAGTCTTTGAACACACTATTTTAAATCTTCAGGCCGGAGAACTCCACATAAAGGTACCCTTCACCTCTGTATGCGGATCGCTGTTGACTCGCACCCACCTAACCAAACAATTTCGAAACTTCCGTTACCCTTCACAACGCCAACGAACCTTTCAGCGTCTGTCATCATGTCCTTGCCTTCTATTACAACTTTTAAGTTTTCAAACGTGTATTTCCTGCTAAAAATCAAGACAACTATAACTTGACGTCAGGGGCCCTAATCAGCAAATGGAACTTGGCAAATACTGTCTCCAAACTACCAACCAGACATATGAACTCTCAGAATTCGGGGGCCAGGCGGACGCGTGGGAGCTCTAATCCGTGGACCGAGAGGGCCCTTCCCAACAGCTGGCTCCTGCTCCTCTCGTCCCCCCACACCTCACCCTTAGTCCACGGGAGGACTCTAAGGCCTCCGCGGCCACAGCCCACCCCCATTTCCCAGTCAGCGCACACTCCGTCTCGGGGGCTCGGCCTACAAACTCGCGAGGTCGGCGCCCACCCGAGGCCATCCCGGGGGCAGCAGGGCGCGGCACCGGGCCCGCGCGTCCCCGCGGCCCAGACCCGGCCCGCCGCCTCCCCTCGCAGCCCGGCCGTGGCGGCCGCTCACCTGGGTAGCGCGCCGGCGAACCTGCGCCACCTCCTTCTGAAACTTGGCGTCCTCCTGCGGGTTCAGGGACAGGAGAGTCTTGGCGGGGCCCGCAAAGACCGCCATGCTGCAAGTCCCCAAGACGACGAGCTCCACGCGGCGCGTCCGGAAACGCCGAGCCCTCAGTTCCTCCAAAGCGGAAGTGAGGCGGGACGTGCGCGGCGACGCGCGGGGCGCGGGGGCGGGGCCGGACGAGTTCGGGCGCCCCCTGCGGGCCGGGTGCCCCTTGGCCTCGCTCTCGCGCTGACCGCCTGCCTAAAATGGCAGAAGGTAGCTTGTTCAGGCTTGCTTTGCGGCCAGCCAATTTCAAAGGGGGTTTAAAAATAAATCCCAAACAATATCCGTGCTTTTGAGGTCTTGCTAACCATTCTTTAATTCTTTTTTATTTCCTTTTTTCACTCGCTCGTTTCTGAGCCTACTGTGTGTCCTTCTGCTGCTGCCCTTAGGTAACATACAGATTGGGTGGGTGGGGGGGGATGGGGAGTAGGTGGATAAAGAACGTTTGAGGGTGGGATTGGTGTAATGGGAGACATAAGAGCCCCGTGGAGGGGGGAAGCACACTGGTGACCAATGAGGGCCTCCTGGAGGAGGTGGCATTTGAACTGAGACCTGAAGGCTGGAAGGAGCAGCCTGTGCAGACCTGGAAGCCCACCGTGCAGGCAAGAGGGACAGCGTGTACAGTGTCCTTACGGCTGGAAAGAAGGAGTCGGCCACTGTGGTTGGAGCTCAGCGTGTGAGGGAGAGGGGCAAGGGGGCAGGCTGGAGCTCCAGGGCTCTGTGTCAAGGTTTAAAGCTTGGGTTTTATTGTAAATGCAGGGGGTGTGAGGGTTTTAAGCAAGGCTGTGGCTGTACCTTTCAACTACTACTCTAGTAAGGGTGGAAGGTGGATAGGAGAGGAAGCGGGGGACGAGCCTAGAGCAATAGTCAAAGCAGAGCTGCTCTGGGGGATGGTGGTGGCAGGTGTTCTGGAACCAATGAGGGCTGAGTTTGGCTGGTGCCCAGGGGTACCTGTGGGAAGAGTGGATGGTAACTGTAGGGTAGAGTGGCGTGGGAGGGATTGTACAGTGAGGGCCAGCCTGCTTCCTCTGGGAGCCACTTGCCTGCCTTTGCGTCCCTCACCCCAGTCACACCCCAGCTCAGCTCAACTGTCACCTGTCAGGGAAGCCCTCTGCGACCCTGTTGCCGAGGTCACCTCCTCCTATTAAATACTCTCTTACAATGGCGTTTTCATGAACAAGCTGGATTTTCAGGAGAGTGCAAGCAGAGAGCAATTTTATTCTTTCTCAGGACTGCTGCTTTTCATGGACTTGTTCCTTCTCCCCCCTGGATGAAATCTTGGGGAGAGCTCCTCAGATATCAGTGTATAGAAATGTTTTCAGGGTGTTCAAAATCTGACAGCAAATGTCTCCTCTCCCCACACTCGGCCCTGTCTCAGGTGAGAAATCTCTCAAGGAGTCACAGTCGACATTGTCTCTCTGGTTTCACCTTCTCCCCTGCACCCCAGTTTCTTTTTTGGCTTCTCCATGATTGAGATGGGGAGAGCGCAAGGAAGCGGCAGGAAGGGGCTCCTTGACTGGCAGGTGCCATGTGGTTGGGGAGCTTCAGATGGGGCGCATCCTTGGTTGCTGACTCACTCTTGCCAGGCACACTTTTGAGGTGTTCCCTCACCTGGCTGCTCATGGCTTAGCCTGCCTGCCTGTGGTACCACCTGCCTGCTGAGGTCAGCTGTGTGTCCAGGTGCTCCTCTTGGAAGGGCCTTTCTAAGCTGACCCCATCCTGATCCTTTAGTAAGGGCCACATCTTTTGTCCTCTCTGTTGTAGGAGATGCTTTTTCCTCTTTGCATTGCTGTAGGGTGGGCCTCCTGGCTGGTCAAAGTTAGATGTTTGATTTATGAGTCACTTACAGGTGCCTGTATCCCCCAAATTCCAGAGGACACAGAACAAGCTATTGGTTCCCTAAAGGCCCCTCCCTTGAGCGTGTGTGTGTGAACACTCCCCTCTTTCCCAAGGATGAAACTTGACATATCTCATAGCTTCTAAGGGGAAGAGAGAGGTAGGGAGGAGCAGAGAAGGGAAGACAGCAAAGTGACAGTTCTCTTCTGGGAGATCCTCTTTCCAGTTTTTGCAACCACCTCCATGAATTCCTGGCCTCCCGTTACATCCCCCAGGTGGGTGGTGACCCAAGGTTTCTCAAAACTGAATGAGAGGCCAGCCGCAGTGGCCTAGAGGTTAAGTTTTGTGTGCTGTGCTTCGGCAGCCCAGGTTTGGTTCCCAGGCGCAGACCTACACCACTCATCTGTCAAGGGCCTTGCTGTGGTGTTGGCTCACATACAAAAAGAGGAAGATTGGCAACAGATGTTAGCTCAGGGTGAATCTTCCTCAGCAAAACAAAAGAAAACAAAACAATGAGCATGTAGATTTCCTGGGGGTCTTGTTACATGGCCAGTTCTGATTCCTAGCTCTGGGGTGGGGCCCCAGGTTCTGTGTTTCTAACAAGCTCCCAGGTGAGGCTGATGCTCCGTGGACCAAACTTGGAGTAGTAGTAGGAGGGATTCGGGGAATTGATCACTGTGCTGGGTTGAATTGTGTTCCCCCAAAAGAGATGTTCAAGTCTTAACCCCGGTATATGTGATGGAAATAGGTTCTTTGCAGATGTAATCAAGTTAAGGCGAGGTCATGCTGGAGTAGGGTGGGCCCTAATCCAATAACTAGTGTCCTTATAAAAACAAGGAAATTTGGATACACACACACACACACACACACACACACACACACACGGAGAACACCACAGTGATGATGAAGGCAGAGATGGGAGAGAAGCAATTGCAAGCTAAGAAACGCCAAGGATTGCTGACAACCATTGGAAGCTGGGAAGAGGTAGAGAAGGATTCTTCCCTAGAGCCTTTGGAGAGAAAATCGTCCTGCCAACATCTTGGGTTTGGATTTCTAGTCTCCAGAACTGTGAGAATAAGTTTCTGTTGTTTTAAGCCCCCCAGTTTTGGTGATTTGTAATGGCAGCCCTAGGAAATGAATACAGCACCATGGTGGGTGCCGCCTGAAGGGGTTTTTTGAGGCAGACACTGGTCCTGGGCCTGTCTTGGCTGTTGGGAGCTACCTGTGAAGGCCAGGTGCCAGAGGAGCTCCTGGATGTTCCCAGAAGGATGCTGGGCCACCCTCTCCTTGGCCCTTCACCAGACCATAGAAGTCAGCCCTTAACTGGGGACGGAGTCTCAGGCCCCGAATCCTCACCGCAGCCCAGACCGGACCTGCTTTCATTTCCCCTTTGAGCCTTGGCCAGTCACTCTCAGTTAACAGTGATTTCCACTGATGTTTGCTGTGGCCCTGCTGGGTAACATCTCATTCTGCCACCCAGGGCCTAAGGGTCACTCTGGGACCTAGGTAGGTGATCACAGGAGTTGATGTGGCATCCTGGTCAGAGAGCCCAGAAACCCGTTACCGCCCCGGGATGTGCCTGGGGGAGATCGCCCTCTCTCCAGGAGGGCCTCAGTCTCCTCATCCGTGAAGAAGGGTTTGGCTGGGACGGTTGTTAAGGTCTCCCTGGGGGAGTCTTCACTCCTTAGTGGCAGCAGCAACACTACTAATGCTCAGACTGGCAGCTTGCCTTCTTCATGCCCAGGTGACAGGCTGGGGCTGCGTGTGTTTGTCCTTCCTTATCTTTCCTCTTCCTCCTTCTTCCTTCTTCCCTCCCTTCCTTCTCTTCTTCCCTCCCTCCCCCCCTCTCTCCCCTCTTTCTCTTTTTGCCTGGAGGTGGGGAGGCTACTGACACCTTGGGAGGGACTGTTCTTCACTGAGCTGGACTGTCCCATACATACCACCCTGGTACCCTGTCCCCTGGCACTCAATGCCAGTGGCACCCCAGTCACTGTAACAACCAGAATGGCTCCAGGCACTGCCACACACCCCTGAGTGGACTATTAAATGTGCTCACTGCAGGACTTTCCCTTCCTTTTCCCCCACTGACCTCCTATGCCACCCCTCTGCTGGGATGGAATGGTCACGTGTCTTTCCTGTGATGCCACCATCACCACCTATGGGCTGGAACACCTTCTGGGGGCCCAGCATGGTGAGGGCTGGTGGCTGGGATATGAGGTGGGGTGGGCAGCAGAGCTGGGCAAGCAGCAGGGTGAGACAGGCTGTGCTGTGTCCAGGCGGCTGGGCCTTAGGAGGGAGGGCTCTGTGGGGTGGGGCTGAGGGCTGGCAGGAGAAGGGACACACGTGGGCCCGGCCCACCTTCCCCCTCCCGTGTTTTCCTCTCTGCCTGGTCCCTGTGTGGTCATCCAACGTGCCACCCTGGATAGTGGGCCCAGCCATCAGAGTCAGCCTGCTCGGCCCTGCCCAGCTGCCCCTTGCTCAGATTTTGGAGATGGGCCTGAAACGGGCAATTCCAGGGGAAGAAGTGGGGAGAAACTCAGTGCAGCCTCAATAAAATGTCACCTGACAAACTAAAATTCAGTCTGCAGACCATTCAGGGCCACATGTCCTGAAGCCACGAAGAAGATTTTCTTCCTTTGTCCTTGTGAATGACTGTCACCTTTGCCTACATCCTGCTCTGTGCCAGGTTAACATCATGCACAGCCCCAAGTCCAGACCCCAAGTGTGACCTGAGTGAAGCTGGGTGGAGCCCTGGGGAGGGGGGTGGGGAGAGTGGAGAATGAGGGGTGCCCAGAGGTCCCGATTCCCTCTGAAGACCCCTGGGGTGACTCACAAACCGCTTCCTCCACCCCTGGATCCTTTCCTGCCCTTCAGTACAGGGTTGGGTCCTGGCGTCCTGGGTCCCGTGGGGCCTGCAGTAGCATCGTGGTGCCCTCTTCCTAGCCTGTATTAATCATGTTTTTTATTCTCTGTATTTTATGATGTTTTGACACCTTAAAAAGCTTGCTGGCTGGGGAGAGACTGTCCCTCCCAGGGCTAGCCAATTCTGAGAGACATCAAAGGGATCACCCTGGAGCACCCCTTTCATATGCCCCCTCCTTATCTGACTCACACACCAGCCAATATTCCCAGCCTAGAGCCCACCAGAATTACTCAAACTGGCCAATCCTAAGCTATGACCCTACCCTGACTTGCCTTTCCCTCAGAACCCAATAAAGGCTCTGACTTAGGCTGT